TTTAATGATACCTTCGCTCCAGTGGCTAAATTGACCTCAATTCGTTTGCTTGTCTCCCTGGCTGCCTCTCACAATTAGCCTCTTCATCAGCTTGATGTGAAGAATGCTTTCCTTAACGGTGATCTTCTTAAGACTATTTATATGGATCCTCCACCCGGTTTTTGGGCTAAGGGGGAGTATGCTGGAAAGGTCTGTCGATTGCGAAAGTCTTTGTATAGGTTAAAACAATCTCCCAGAGCTTGGTTTAGCCGCTTCAGTGATGTAATTATATCCATGGAGTTTGTTAGATGCCATTCTGACCATACATGTTTTATCCACCGTTCCTCTCGATGTATCATTCTTCTTGTCTATGTTAATGATATCATCATTACTGGCAATGACATCCCTAGGATTGCTCAAGTAAAGCTTCAATTGGCTAAAGCTTTTGATGTGAAAGACCTTGGGCAGCTCAGATATTTCTTGGGAATTGAGGTTGCTAGATCTAAGCAAGGTACCTCTTTATCGTAAAGGAAGTATGTCTTGGATCTTCTTCGAGACACGGGTCTGCTTGGGTGTAAACCTGCTTCCACTCCTATGGATCCTAATATGAAGATCTCGGCTTAGTCTAGAGATCTCCTTTCTGATCCCTCGCAGTATCAGCGCTTGGTAAGAAGATTGATTTATCTTACCAACACCCATCCTGATTTGGCTTTTGTTGTTAGTGTTGTGAGTCAGTTTATGTATGCTCCTCGTACAACTTATATGGATACGGTATATCATATTCTTCGATATCTTAAGTCCTGGACTTGGATTATTCTATTTTTCTGGCAGACAGATTGGGCTATCATGTTTAGTGATGCAAACTATGCTGGATCCAAGACTAACAGACGTTACATTTGGATTCTGTACTTTCTATGGATATCATCTTATATCCTGGAGAAGTAAGAAGCAACCTGTAGTTTCGAGATCTTCAGCAAAGGCTGAGTATCGTGCAATGGCCTAGGGTACTTGTGAGATTCTCTGGCTTTAATCTTTCTTGGGGGAACTAGGGCTAAGTGAAAAACAGTCCTCGGACTTGTTTTGTGATAATAAGTCAGTCACCATGCTTGCTTCAGATTCTGTTCTTCATGAGAGGACTAAACTTATAGAGGTGGATATTCATTTTACGAGAGAGAAGGTTCGTTTCGAAATTATCAAGTCCTGCTTTGTTCGGTCCTTTAATCAGTCGACAGATGTGTTCACCAAATCTGTTGGTCCATCTTTGCTTCATTCCTCGATTACCAAGCTGGGCTTGAGTGATATCTTCACTCCAGCATGGGATCATGTAGATAAGATCCCCGTAATCATGGAATCACGTAAATTTTGACATATTTCCTGTTTTTCTTTGATTTGGTTTCCTTTCTTTGTATCATATTCTTGTATATAAATATAGCTCTTGGTTCTCGATTTGAGTAAGTCAAAACCTAAAACTTCTTCTTTTTATATGTACCTTTAAAAAATTTATAAATATATATTTAATATTTTTATGACCTTGTTACTTCACTAGAAGTGTTAGTTAATATATTAAATATTCACTACTTAGTAACTTACAAGTTGAGTCAACTTATTTATCAGCCAAATTTGAATAAATTGGGCTAATTTTATTTTATTAAATAATAAAAGTGACATAACCAACCTCGTCCTGCAATTAAACGGAATATGCGGGGCGGAGTCGGTACTTTGTCTGCCGAAGTAGGAGCGGAGATGGTATACTGTTGGAAACTATTATTATAGAAACCCTTAAATTACTCCTTGATATAATATTTGATATGAGAATATCATAGGAGAGATTTTAGCCTATGATAGAATATTTGATTGGAGTGATTTATTGTATTAATTTTAGGAATCTTCCATCAATGTATTTTTCACATTTATCACTCGTATTCTTTCACCTATAAATAGTGGTGATCATTGTATAGAAAGATTAAGAGAGTATAATAAAGATATGTAGCCTTATAGACTTTGTGTGTCGTGGATGTAAGCCCTAGTGGCTGAACCACGTTATATTCTTGTGTTCTTCAAGTTTTAGTTTCTCTCTTCAACTTTTATATCTTTCAAAATGGTATCAGAGCAAGACTTAGGATAAGCACAGAGGTGTGCCCCCTTGTCGATCCGGGGGTCAAGAATGAAGATGGTGCACTGTTGCGTCAATAGGGAATCAATGAAGTTGGAGGGGAGCCTCCAAAACCCCCAAGAAGAAGCGTCTTTTGAAGTTACACATTGAAGGGCCGGAAGGCCGCACGCACCAAAGTTCTTGCGAGTTCAAGGGTGATGCAAACCGATGAGAAGGGCGGGTATCAAGTCGGCAGGAGGGCCCTTGATTGCTCGGGATGTCGCAGAGGCGGCATAACGTGGAGTTACGTCCCGAAGAAGGGGGACGTCCCTTTGGTCCGAGACCTTATCCATTGGGCGAGTGCAGTGCAAAGGGCTGCACAAAGAAGTGATGGTGGGCAGGCGAGCATACTTAGGAAGGTTGGACGTAGAGGAGTTAGCGCCGTACTGCGACAAAGGCGTCGTAGGATTCAAGTGGGGGAGAGTGTCACGGACGGATTCCTAACGACGCTTGGAGTAAGGAAGATATGCATGCTGGTTAGTGAAGGGCGGAGTTTGACTGGGAATGGTTCCAGGGAAGGGGCGTGTAGGAAAACAAGATGGCACATTTTCAGAGTTGAGGCAGGACGACTCGGTTTAGTTCGAGGAGCTTGTTGCTAGTCGTGGACTTGACTATGAAGAAGGGAGTTGGCCATCCCTGCACAAACTGGTCGGGAGCTGGAGTCGTTCCCCTGATGAGGCCAAGGCAGGCCAAAACCAGTCAGCATGTATCCTCAAGATGGCAGGTCGTGGTGGCTGAACAAGGTGCTTACGCAAGTAAAAGCAACGCCTTAGTGCCGCACGGGCTGTGCCGCTGCGCCAAATCTCTAGACCCGTGACAAATGGTATCAAAGCAGGTTTATCATACCCTACTCTATACTCTACTCGTCTCGGATCTCCGGATCAACTCATCTCGGATCTTCGGATCAACTCGTCTCGTCTTGGATCAACTCGTGTCAGATTTACTCGTCTCACACTCTCACAACTTCATATTTAGTTTCAAGTTGGACACTTAAGTTAAAATCTTCGTGTACCAACTTGAGGGAGGGTGTTGGAAAATATTATTATAGGAACCCTTAAATTACTCCTTTATAGAATATTTGATATGAGAATATCATAGGAGAGATTTTAGCCTATGATAGAATATTTGATTGGAGTGATTTATGGTATTAATTTTAGGAATCTTCCATCAATGTATTTTCCACATTTATCACTCGTATTCTTTCACCTATAAATAGAGATGATCATTGCATAGAAAGATTAAGAGAGTATAATAAAGATATGTAGCCCTCTGGGCTTTGTGTGTTGTGGATGTAAAGCCCTAGTGGCTGAACCACGTTATATTCTTGTGTTCTTCATGTTTTAGTTTTTCTCTTCAACTTTTATATCTTTCAACATATACCAATTATAAACCTGTCCCTAGCCATGATTAGGGCGGTGGCAGCAGTGGAAGGAAGTTAAGAGGGTGGTGGTGAGAAGCGATGGCGAGAGGTGAAGGTAGTGGCCTTGGTTAGAGGGTGGTGGTTTAAGAGGTGAAGAAAGAATTAAGAGAGAAGAGGGAATAATAATGTGGGCAAATGTGTCAATTTATGAATCAGATTTTTGCATTCTTTTTGTTATTAAATTATATGGGGCATAATGGTAAAATCACTCTAAAATTAAGTTACAAATTCTTAGAGGGGAGGCGAGTGCAAAAATTTTGAAAAGTTTCATCCCGAGTGTAATTAGAGCAATCGTCAGGGGAGGTCAATGTATTTAACCCAAAAAAAATTAAGCAAAAAGAGAAGGAGCAGTACTTTCTTATTCTTACCCACCACTACAAAGTATTATGGGTCCTAGTGTTAAGCCACAGGTAGGCACCAGCCAGACAGGAAATCCTGCCTTGTGCATGGCTTGGGAAATAGAGAAAAGAGAAAAGATCCCTTTATGGCCATCAAATGCATGGCTTGGGGGAAAAAAACATCCCTACTAGACTGCCTTGTGCATGAACTTAAGAGGGGAAAAAAAACTTACAGGGCATGTTCTTTTTGCCCATTAACCTATCATCTTATCATGTGAGAAATAAAAAAAGAATCCAAAGTCAGTTTCTTACTTTGGACATCAACCAGATAATCAGTTCCTTTTTGGGAATGTGACTGCACAACTTCTATACACTCTCAATGAATAACACTAGTATCACACCATAATTTTTTTCTACAACACCTTCGTAGCATAATTTTTCTAAATTGACTAGGAATGAAGTCGCTATGGGAAAAAATAAGACTTTTAACGCGAATAAATGAAATAGAGTCTAAAGAGTATGGAGTCGCCACCTAACATTGGGTTGTAGTGTGCTAGGACACTTAAAATATGTGATAATGAGTCAAAAGCAATGGCCCTATGTAAGGAGTCTAATGACATCTATAGGGTATAACAAACTAGATTAATTGATTCGGAGATCAAATTATATATGGGAAAGGTGTTAGGCACCCCACATATCCATATCATATCTTTTGAAATCAGTTCTTATGGCATGATGAACTAGAGAAATGGGAGATCTATTTCACAATATGGATCTTTATAAAATAATTGGGAAAGAGAGAGAGAGAGAGAATATCTGGGTCTTGCAAGCTTGGGTTGACCCGTAAGCAATCCATTTTTAAAGTTGTGGATCCCATTCATGCAGGATTGGTTTGATTGGTATATTAAATCCCTTTAAAGTTGCGGGTTGATTTTGGGCCAATCGGGTTTAGTTGACTATCTAATCCCGACCCACTTAAAGCCAGTCAATATGGGTTTGTGACCATTTTGACCCGCGCATTTAACAGGCCTACTTGCTAATGCAAACAAGGTGTCATGTTATACTTTTGTGTAACCATGTAATAGATTAGAAAAAGAAAACGGCATCATACTTGTTTGCCAAGTAGTCCATCATAAAAGTTGAGGGCTTCCCTACAACCAGTGGCTCACGTTGAGTAGATCCACTAATGGCACCAACCATTGAACCGCCACCTGAAGCCAAACCACATTGCACTGGCATTTTAAGATTATGATACTTAAAAACCATTATGAATTAAGACAAATGATGCCAAATTTAATATGTATTTACTCAGATAAAGTATGAATATTTCAATCAATTTCATAACGGATACCATATATTGGTGTATGAGGTCTCAACCATAATTCTGATGATTGTGAGCTCAATAATGCCTCAAAATCTTGATAATCACCTTCAAATCTAAAGAGCAGCTTGTCTCAACAAATGACTTTCTGATATTCGGTATATGGCCGACTATGATCCCAATCCATTCTATTTTTCTTTTATGACTTTGTGATCCTTAAAAGATGGCTAGCCCATGATCCCAATCCATTTTTTTTTTTTTCCATTCTCATTATGTCAGAAAGAGAATATATGGAAAGAAAAGGAATGATTAATATAGTTTTCCATTCTCCATAATGACACTGCAGTTAAGTTAGTTTCTAGAAAGAAAAAAATTACTAGGATGTGAAAAGGTAGTTACTTCCAATTACTGATTAAGCTGAGGTACCATTTCCTCATATATTGTTTTTCATAGTTGGTACTCACACACACATGCCTCCACTGAGGCTTGATCCCTTGACCTCCCTTTGGGAAGTAAGGGTCTGATACTGCTAGGCCACCGACCCGTTGGAACCATTTTCTCATATAGTTTACTCATTTCATTAAATATATATATAAATATATATATATATATAAAGATATTCAGGTATTTTCTTGTTGAATATGTTAAGAAAATACTTTAGAAAAAAGATTAAAAAAAATTATACGAAAACAAAATCAATAGAGAAGAATTTAACCTGCCCATTCCTGAGCGTCAGTAAGATGGGTGACAGCATCACGATTTGTAGCAATAAAAAGACACCCTGGGTTTTCACGTATGCATAGTGTCCCATACCTTCCATCACGAAATAAAATTAGATAACTACAGAAATAAGGCGGGCCAAAAATAATAATTAAATATGAAGCCTGTTAAATCACCCTCATGGCTTTAAGGGTAAAACTGAAACACAATTGCAGGGTAAGGTATGAGAGTATTTCCTATAATAGCACAATTTGATTCAGTAATAGAGAAGCAATCTAACAAATAAACAAGAATATACTACTTGAACCACTAGAGAAACTTCAGCATTTATATACTACAAAATATAAAATATACAATTAAGTACATCTATGCAAATTAGTAATAGTCAGAGACCATAGCACCCGAGAAAATGTTTAGGCTGCTTGATTTCAACTAGTAGGATGCACGAACAATAACATCATCATTGGTATATAAAACTTAATAAAATAAATAGATTATGTCATAACAAGTGAAAGTGGCTTCTAATGAACATGCTAAATTTTTTTATTTTAAGAATAATAAAAATAAGTTATGTCTTGTATCTTTTTGTAAGGCTATATTAGCATAGATCAAAACAAAATTGTAGTCTTGTGGTGTCAAGAAATGGTGCTAAGGAATAAAAAGGAGAAGGAAAAGAAACTGCATACGAAAACTGTTATCTGCCAAGAGGACATTGATGTTCGTCCAACGGCATAGGAAATGGGCGCAAGCGGGGAGACACAGTCTCTGCAAGTTCTAGATATCATGTTATGCACCTTAATTTTTTAAATTGATTATCTTCCATTTACATAAATTGGCCCCTGCCAACAGATTTTGATAATGAATTGGCATTTCCAAAACTCAACAGGTTCTTTAATGAATGGCCTCCCTATAGGATATTGATAATTGTGCCCTTGCTCACTTGACTATGTTCCAATTTCCTTTATCTCTTACTCTTTCACCTGTGTCCTAGATTTATCCCATCTAATCGAAGTGAATTTAACTTTCTACAGCATTTCATATTAAAATTTTGCATTCCAACACTTCCAAAACATTAAAGGTTGGTTCTATTAAAATATTAAAAGTATATCATAAAAAAATTAACTGGCTTCGTTTTACACCGAAAAATTATTTTAGTGGGGGATTCAGAATCTCATCCTTTCAAAAATTAAAAACAGAGGAGAGCGACATTTTCATAATACACACAGCAAACATGGAATTTTAAGTAACAGTTGATTTACTCAAATGTCGGAAGAAGAGTAAAATACCTTTTACTTCAACTATACCCCTATTGATAAAGCTTTATGGACAGAAGACTGGACTAGAGACTGCCTTGGAAGATTAGTGGAAGGAGCAATCGAGAATCGAACTAATTAGTAGAAAGGAGGTAGGTTCAGTATCCTCTCTTTAGCGCCTCCATCCCATGTTTAGCTACTTTAGGAATCTTTTTTAAAAAATAAAAAACAAAAAGAACCATTTCCAGTTTCAATCCAAAACCGGGAACAGCCTCTCCATGCGGAGGTGAGGCTGTGTACATCTGAACCTCCCAGATCCTGAAATGGCGAGAGCCTCGTGCACTAGGCTAGCCCTATTTACAATTTCAATCCAAGCACTCCTTTGAAATAATGTAGAGAGAGAGAGACAGGCAAAGAGAGACGGAGAGAGAGGGAGAGAGAATATTTTTCTGCAATGGCAAATATTGTGGCTCCCTTCACAGAATACAATTTCCAATGTGAAAAGAACTGAAATGAAGATACTAAAAGCAGCAATATAAATTTACAGAAAAATAGGAAAACACAATATGACTGATAAGATCAGGGTGAAAAAATGGAGAACTTACTGAATCTTGTAGTAGTTGAAATAACGATCAAATCCAACAACAACAGCCCCAACCTAAACGGAAATATACAATACTTTTAAATATGATGGCAAGTCAAATTACAGTGCAATAAATAGTTTTAAAATTCAATTTGATGGCCCATAAAACAATACATGAATATCATGTTCTTTTCAGAAGTTCTATAATGTCTATTTTTAATTTACAGAAGGTTCTGCAACTAGAAACGAACTTTTAGCAGCAAGAACTAATGGAATTATACATTCTCATCATGCTCCATAAAAAACCCAGGCTTTAGCTCTATCTTTTTCCCACCATCTTCCTGTAAAAAACAAAATAACATAAGAGTCTAACACTCATGAAATGATTAGAAGACGCTAATTACAAAATAAAACCATGTGATATTTTAACAAACATTATCAGGTACAATTGTACATAGAGATAATTGGGGGCAGACTGCAGAGAGAGAGAGAGAGAGAGAGAGGTTACTAATTGTACTGCATATGTTTTACCTTATCTATGACTTTTATGTTGGTACCTGAGATTGAGGATTTTTAGTATATATATTTGAGCATATCTTAATTTTGATGGTGGGCATACTGATTCACAGTTGCACGCTTGCACCTACTCACAGTTTGAGCTGTGATATTCTGTTGCTAATCCTTGCAATTAGTGTCACGTCATTCTTCTCCTCACAAATGGTCTATTGTGGTAGGTGGAGTCTTGATCTGATATTGCCCATTTAACTTATCCATCCCAAAGTGGACCTAAGGTGTTTGTAATTTGATGCAATCTACTGACCATAATTTTTACTCTTTGACCAACAGAGGGTTAACTGACTGCAATTTACAGAGTGAGTAACAGTTGGAGGATAACCACTCCAAGAAAGAGGTCTCAATGGTCAATATTTTTCTTAACATTTACTACCACACAAATAAGAGGGAAAAACACAAAAGCTTTAGATAAATAAATTCCCACCACTATCCATCAAGGACAAGAAATAGGATAAACAAAATCTATCCAGAGCCCATCCTCTTGTGTCACTATCGACTAGTCCTACCTCTTCTTTTTTTTTCCCTATTTGGTACTCACACACACTTGTCTCTTGTGAGACTTGAACCCCTAACCTCCCTTTGGGAAGTAAGAGACTGATACCGCTAGGCCACTGGCCCGACTAGTCCTACCTCTTATATTATACACAACTAATTATGCTCTTGTATGGTTCCAACTACCATCTCATAAGTCCTAAACGTAGGTGATAACGCACTTCCATGATCCGATCTAGACGAATAATGGCTTATAAATGTGACAATTTGGATAATATTACTCACCTCTCTCATCAAGATTCTATACCATCTTCAATTCGTAAGTCACAACTCTGCACTCATTAATAACCTTAATAACTAACTATTCCTCAAAATCAGAACAACTATTCCTCACTACCTACTGGCAAAGGAGATAGGCTGGTTTGTTTGATGATCTAGGAGCCCACGATAAGGAAAAGCTAGGATGAGATTGAAGAAGCAGGGCAATTTCTTCAAAAATAACAGAAGCAGCTTCACAGGAGGGATGAAGATTGACAACATTAAGGCAATCAGATTTGATGATAACATTGTGGTAACCCCATCGAGAGAGAAGTTGGAGCCCTTTCCTCATGATTCTAGCTTCTGCTAACTCAGCGGAGTGGCGACCTTCATAGAAGACAGAAGCTATGTGAATGGCTCTGCCACTGTGGTCTCAGAGAACAAAACCACCACCGATGCCATGAGAAGACGAAGGCAAGTCAGCGTCAATGTTCAGCTTAAAATAACCAATATCAGGGGGAAGCCAGTGCTTCAGATGAGATGGAGGGGGAGTGAAGGAAGGGTTCAGAAGGGAGTCTTGGCGGCTGAAGTCGCAAAATTCATTGAAACAGAAAAGAGCGCGATCCACAACTGATTTAGGATCCTAGTGGATCTGGTTGAAGTGCCAGTCATTTCGACATTTCCAAAGATTGGAGAGTTAGGAAATTCCAACTTCACAATCTCAATTGAGTCACCATAATAAAGAAAATAAAGGTAGGCAGAGGGCACTAATATATTCAGAAAAGACAAGGGAGGTATCTAAATTACCAGAGATTTATCTGTACTTTTGGCTGATGAAAATGTAGGTACTTTCTGATATGGTAAAACCTTTTTTAAGAGTAAGATTTATCATTCTTTAACATCCTTTGCAGGTGCAGAATTTTTAAAGCAGATGTATTTTGAATTTACGAGAGCCAGCTATAAGCTTGACATTTTTAGTATAAGTTCAACATAATACCGGTGAGACTATAACTAGACCAACTACTCTTCTTGGTTGTTTGGTCCTTTAAGATGAATAATACACCAAAACTCCAGCAATCGTGCAATCACTGCAGAATTTAAAAATAATTTGGGCAGCTCAGAGGAACTAATATGGGAATATACATACCGGTCCCCCAAGATACTGAAACCCTGCCAGCTCAAGCTCTTTCAAGATGCCATCCTCACCAATCACATATACCTTAATATATTGTCCAGCAAAGAGGTCAGTCATTTATCAACTACATCTTGTCACAATAATTATTCAAGTGAATAAAAAAAATTAAAAAAATTAAAAAAACAACTAACTCTTAAAAGTTGGTTTATGATCTCTGAAATATTTGTTACAGTGAAAATGTGAAAAACGTAACTTGTGAAGAGTGATCAGGAAAATATACAGTTATAGTGAATAAGTGAAAAATGTAATATAGAAACTTTTCTTCTTCTTTTTCCCCTATTTGAAATGCACATCCACTTTGCCCCTATGGGGACTTGAACCCTCAACCTTCTATGGTGGTTATGTAATATAGAATCTAGAAAATCATGTTTAAACAAAATTATCAAGCAGTCAGAAGTTAAAGAAGCATATTACAATTTTCTTTTCTATGTTTCTGCAGAAGATCATAAACCAAAGGAGGGAGGGGGGGGAATCCCATGAATATGCAGGCAAACAGTAGTCATATTGTTATAGCAATTTTTTGAAGAACACATAAATGAAGTGTGTATGTCAAAATATTTGAGCAACCTTCAATAAACTACAAGCACGCAAGTATGGTGGAACTAAGGGCATTAGTAAATATTTCTGTATAATATAACATTTCTACATAGAACTTTTCAATTTTATTTTTTTTATTCTATCACCATTTTAGCAAGTATGATGGACCTAAATACATGGCTTTACAAGTAAATTAATATATAATCATAATACATTTACATTTGGTTCCATATATCGTACATGCATGAGACAAAACTCTCAGAGAAAAGTTCCTTTCAGAGACACTGCTACTCATTATGCATATGGAGTTGGACTTAATGTTGCCGGTGTAAATCAGCTTTCACCATTTTCTTGTCATCCGCCTCAGAAAAAATTTCACCCGTGCATACCTTTTTATCTTTTGGGAAATTGATGGACTTCAAATATGCAGCAGCAGCAAAAGATGATGCAAAAATTTCCTCCTGAAATTTTCAAAGGCAGTTAGAAATATTGATGAGAATAATTTGAGAACTTGCAAGGGAAAGAGGTATAAACTAACCTCATTGACATTAAGACCAAGAGTTTCAAACTTTTTCCCATATTGTTTCCTCGACTTTGTTGAGTTGTTGGTAACAAAAACTAATCTCTTTCCCTGAAGCAAAAGGAAACCAGCACTTCAGTAGTAACCGCCAAAGAATGCTTTCATTTTATAGTTTCATCATTCAGTCCTAGAGTAAAAATGAACAAAAAAAACATACAGATTTGGTTGGACCAATAACCATTAAAATAAGCTATCACAAAAAATTAATAATAAGTCGGTCAACACTAGAGAAAAATAGGGAGAAAAATATTACGATTCTTTTATTCTTCTCACAAGGAGGTATATATACTATACACATATTAAACATATAAGGTAAGTATTAAGTTTACAAAGTCAGCTCTAATCAACTACGCTAATTATGTTAATAGATGAAAGGTAAATCCTAATCATCACGTTAACACTCCCCCTCAAGTTGGTGCATAGATGTCTCGCATGCCCAACTTGTCGATTGAAGTATTGAAACTTCTACTTGATACTGCCTTTGTCAAAATATCTGCTAGCTGGTCCTTGGTCTTTACAAAAGGCAAGCTAATTATTCCACCGATTAGTTTCTCTTTGATATAGTGTCTATCTACCTCAACATGCTTGGTACGATCATGTTGAACTAGGTTATGTGCAATGCTAATGGCAGCCTTGTTATCACAATAAAGACTCATAGGTTTCAAGGGACAGAAACCCAATTCACCCATCAAGATCTTCATCCATAACAGTTCGTGAACCCCATGGACCATAGCTCTGAATTCTGCTTCTACACTTGATCTAGCTACCACATGTTGCTTCTTACTCTGCCAAGTTACTAAGTTTCCACCTACAAAAGTAATGTATCTAGAAGTTGATCTTCTATTAGTTATTGATCCAGCCTAATCAACATCTGTGTAACCCTCAACCTCTAGATGTCCACGTTTAGAAAACATTAGACCTTTACCAGGAGCATATTTTAGTTACCTGAGAATCCGATATACAGCATCCATGTGAGCTTCACTAGGTCCATGCATAAACTAACTTACCACACTAACCGCATAGGCGATGTTAGGGCATGTATGAGATAAGCAGATTAGTTTCCCAACTAACCTCTGGTACCTATCATTATTTGTGGGAACTTGATCTGGATATTCCCCCAACTTGTGGTTTTGTTCAATTGGAGTATCTGCTGGTTTGCAAGCTAGCATCCTAGTTTTAGTCAACAAATCCAAGACATACTTCCTTTAGGACTGGAAAATACCATGCTTTGATCTGGACACCTCAATACCACCTCAATACACAAAAAATATTTCAGAGTACCCAGATCCTTCATCTCAAATTCATTGGCTAAATAATTCTAGAGCTTTCTAACTTCTTTGTCATCGTTACCAGTAACCACCATATTGTCCAAATATACTATTAATGCAGTAATCTTGTACTTATTTCTCTTGAGGAATAAAGTATGATCAGCTTGAGTCTGTTTGAATCCATAGTTTTTCATTGATTGTGTGAACCTATCAAACCATGCCTTTGGAGATTGTTTAAGTCCATACAAGGACTTTCGTAACTTGCCAACCTTATCCACATCACAAGAAGTAGTAAACCCTGGAGGAGGATCCATGTAAACTTCCTCATCCAACTCTCCATGTAGGAAAGCATTTTTCACATCAAACTGATGTAGAGGCCAATCTAGACTTGTAGCCAAGGACAAGAGGACCCAGATGGTGTTCATTTTGGCCACTGGTGCAAAAGTTTCTTGGTAATCAATCCCATAGGTTTGTGTATAACCTTTAGCCACTAGTCTGGCCTTATGTTTGTCAATGGAGTCATCTGCCTTATGCTTCACAGTGAACAGCCATTTACAACCTACAGTTTTCTTACCCTTCGGTAGTTCAACCATATCCCAAGTAGAGTTTTTCTGAAGAGCTTTCATCTCCTCAGTCATAGCACTTCTCCATTTAGGATTGCCAAGAGCTTCCTGTACAATATTAGGAATGGATACAAAGGGCAATTGATTTGCAAAAGCATTATATGAATTAGACAACCGGTGAGATGATACATAATTGGATATAGGATATTGGACAACATTACTAGATAAAAAAGTAAACCGTTTAGGAGGTTTACCCCGATTAGGACGAACAGGATAACGAGGACCTTAAGATTCATTTTGTATCTCAGAATCACCTGCTGAGACTGTTGGGATATCAAGGTTAGGCTCAAGGGAAAGGTTAGGCTCAAGAGAAGAAGGAATAGTAGGAATTACCTCCGGATGATCTTCAGGAATATCCTCAGAAGGAGCCGTTTGATCCGATGGTTCAAGAGGGGAATCTGCCGAACCTGTCTGAGTGCCTTCCTCGTTATCTTTTTGAATATCCATATGTACCTTTTTTCTTTTCACATACACCCTTAACTCTTTCTCCTTCTTTTTAGGTACTATCTCTGTCCTTTGCACAGTTAGAATTTCATCCAAAAAAAGAATTCTCTTCCAACTGACTCCCATTCTCTCCCTGAAGAGAAGTATCAGTAACTCCCCCTGAAAAATAGGCTTCTTTCTCACAGAAGGTAACATCCATAGAAACAAAGAGTTTACGGGTAGGAGGATGAAACAACGATATCCTTTATGTGTGGCAGAATAACCCACAAAGATAGACTTCAAGGCACGAGGATCCATCTTACCCCATTGATGCGCGTGACTATGGACAAAACTAACACATCCAAAGACCTTAGGAGGAATGTTAAGACGGGAAGTACAAGAATGATACCGAGACAAGGCTTGGAGAGGTGTTTGAAACTGGAGAACGCTGGATGGCATGCGATTTATAAGAAATGCAGCCGTGAGTACTGCATCACCCCAAAAAATTTTGGGAACACGCATAGCAAAGCATAAAGATCGAACCACCTCTAGGAGATGGTGATTTTTACGCTTAGCTGTACCATTCTATTGACGGGTAGAGACACATGAAGTCTGATGAACAAGGCCATGTTGTTAGAAGTAGACACCAAGAGTATGTTTGAGATACTCTCGTCCATTATTAGATCTGATCACCCATATGGAAGCATTAAATTGTGTACGAAGCATTTGGTGGAAAATTGGAAAAATAAAAGCCACATCACTTTTATTCTTCATCAAATAAACCCAAGACATTCATGTGCAATCATCAATAAAAGAAACAAACCATTGTGCACCAGTGCGAGAAAGAACCGAAAACGGACCCCAAACATCAATATGAATGAGTGCAAAAAGAACACCACTTTTATTAAAACTTAAAGGGAATGAAACATGATGGTGTTTTGCTAGAAATGCAATGTTCACACTGAAAATCTAGAAGAGAAACTTTAGAGAATAACGAAGGAAATAAACGTTACAAATAAGGAAAAAATGGATGTCCCAGTCTTCGATGCCATAACCAAATCTCTTCTCTAGCCTTGGATTCCTCTACTCCAACTTGGTACACTTGGGCAATCTTGGAACCAGGAGAAGCACTCAAATCCAAGTAGTACAGCCCCCTTTCTCCCTACCAAGACCAATCGTTTCCTTCGTAAGAATATTCTGAAAAACATAATGGGTAGGGAAAAATGTTACACATCAATTTAGATTCTTAGTAATTTGACTTATGGAGAGTAAATTATTAGAAAGGGAAGGAACATGTAAAATAGAAGAAAGAGTCATAGAAGAAGACAAAGGAACAAAACCAGCTCCTAAAACTGGTGTGGACAAACCATTAGCAACTTTAACACTACTCCTAGAAGGATTAAATTTTGAAACAAACCGAGTTGGGTTATTAGTCATATGATCAAAAGCCCCTGAATCAATAATCCAAGATTGAGCACTAGGAACAGAAGAAAGACTAAAGGCATATCCCAAATTACTTGTATTGGCTAAAGAGGTAGAAGCATCAACCTGGGAAACTTGCTGAGATGGTTGAGTTACCGAAGAAGCAAAGAAAGTTGTGGTGCAATTTGATTGTCACCAAAAGTATGATGAGCCTGAGACCCAGAGTTGCCTCCCTTTTTCTGGGCATTCTTCTTCTAAACATACCAGTCTGGATAGCCATGTAGCTTAAAGCATGTTTCTCGAACATGTTTAGTACCATTACAATAGGTACATCTCCGAGTATCACAGGATTTGAAATCAGATGAAGTGGAAGATGACCTTCCCAGAGGAATAGTGGTACTAGCAGAAGGAATCACCGATGCAATCTTAGGAGAAGATCCCACTTTCAAGGCTGAGCCATCGCTAGATTTTCCTACCATCATAGTTCGTTGACGAAGTTCCTCACGACACACAAAAGCATAAGCATTCTGAATACTTGGAAGCGGATCCTGGGCAAATACTTCTCCTAATTTGGTATAGACTGGGATCTAAACTAGCCAAAAAATCGAATAAACGATCCTCCTCAATCTGATTTTTCATTGTAGCCGCATCTTTTGCACATTCCAGGGAACAAGGACGACGATAATCCAATTCTTGCCAAATAATTTGAAGTGCAACATAATACACAGTCAAAGTCTTACCATAGTCTTACCATTCTAACGAGTCTCATGTGCTCGGCAACGGAGTTCATACATCTGTGAAACATCTTTACCAATAGAAATTGTTTGAGCAACTGCATCCCAAACATCATGGGCAGTGGGCAAGCGGAGAAATACAGCCCAAATTCCAGGAGCCATCAAATTCAGCAACCAGGACTTAACCATGGCATTCTCCTCCACCGAAGTAGCATAAGCAATAATATCTTTTTCATTAGGCTTAACCATGGTACCAGTCAAGTATCCCACTTTCCCTCAACCTGTGACATATAACTCGACACTTTGGGACCAAGTGGAAAAATTGGAACCATCTACTAATTTATCCGGAGTGATTTGTAAGGGCAATTGGTCCTGATGAACAGTAACTCAGGCAGAGACCGGAGAGGCAAAAGTTCAATCTCCTTCGTCTTTTAAGTCACCCATTACTTATAGCACTTAAAATATATATATATTTTTTGGGGTTTACAATCTGCGTTGCTATAATTTTTTGGGGTTTAAGAATAGTTGCAGTAGAGAATACCCAAAAATAAAAACTTATGGCACAAAAGGAGAAGAATGAAGTCGGCAATGAGTCAACCCGAAAACAGATTGTCCACCACCTTCATATCAAGCTGAGAGGGTCTGGGTAAGTCAAATCGATTATTTGCGGATAAACCGCAACAGATATCAGTAGTTAATTTGGCAAGAAATCAACAAACCAAGCCGATTGGAAGCAAAGATAAGGCCGACGACAAGAACTGATCGATCAGAGAGAAAGACAAGCCACCGGAAAGCAGAGTACAGCCAGCGGCTTGTATGATTTTAGGTATTTAGAGTGACGATAAGTATGGGTATGGGTATAGTTTAGACAAATAGGTAACTGCTAAGGTAAATCAGAAAAATCCTAATCGTGTAGGCTCTGATACCATGTCAAAACTAGAGAAAAATAGGGAGAAAAAATATTACGATTCTTTTATTCTTCACACAAGGAGGTATATATACTATACACATATTTAAACATAGAGTAATGCTATTGCGAGCGCGCGCTCGCAATAGCATTACTCTATGTTTAAATATGTGTATAGTCTCGCAATAGCACCAACGAGCTCTCGCGCTCGCAATAGCATTACTCTATATTTAAATATGTGTATAGTCTCACAATAGCACCAACGAGCTCTCGATCTAAACCGTCGGATTCAAATAGCTTGAGATTAGGAATAAAACAAATGTTTTTTTATTTTTATTTTTGTTTCCCTTCTCTCTCCTCTCTCCTCTCTCCTCAAGCTTTCCGTTTCTCTTTCCTCAAACTTTCAGACTCTCTCAAATTTCTCTCTCTCCAGCTTTTTTTTTTTTTTTTTCCATCATTTTTTTCATCTTCATTACTTCAGGTGAAGAAGACGGCAACTCTGCCCCGCTGAGCCGCCTTGCAAACCCACCGTCCACCTTGTCTCTGCCGCGAACCGTCCTTGTCACCACCACCCGCCGGTGCAATGCCGCAAGCCCACTGCGATTCAACCATATCCGAGCACTGCCGACGTTCATCCACAACCCATCTTGCCCGCTGTTCTGTCAATCGTCGGCGTGCACAAGCTGCCGTCCCTCTCCTCACTTTCTCTCTCCTACCCATCTCAGTTCTCCAACTCTTCCATCGTATCCCAAATTTTCAAGGCTGATCTCACCATCTCTGAATCAAAAAAACAAAACCCAAAACCTGATTCGAATAACTGGAAATCCATCACCACATATTTTTGGTTTCAGTTTTTTAATTTTTACCCATCAATTTCCTATATATATATATATATATATATATATATATATATATATATATATAAGTACAGTATTGATGTATGAGTTCTGAAAAAAAACAAAAAAACAAAAAACAAAAAAAACAAAACCATCACAGCCATCGCCGGAATCAAACTACAGTGAACAGCCAAGTTCACCGCCGCCCACCGGTGAGTAGAGAGAGAAGTAGTTTTTTTGGGTTGGGAAGAAGGGGAAGATGAAGGAAGAGAGAAAGAGGCCGGTGAGTAGAGAGAGAAGTTGCTTTTTTGGATTAGGAAGAAGGGGAATTTGGCATCTGCAAACTTAGAGAGAGAGAGAGAGAGCAGAGTGCAGGGTGAGAGAGAGAAAAATAGCCGACAAAATTTGGGATGGTGAGATCAGCATTTGTCTTCACTTTTCTTCCGAATCCCTAAGTAAACATACCGTGTGGCTATATGCGAGAGCTCGTTGGTGCTATTGCGAGCGCGCGCTGCAATAGCATTACTCTTAAACATATAAGGTAAGTATTAAGTTTACAAAGTCAGCTCTAATCAACAACGCTAATTATGCTAATAGATGAAAGGTAAATCCTAATCAATCACGTTAACAAAGTAAAACTGTAATTTTAAGCATGAAATGCAAAGAAACACGTGTCAACATCACAAATACCTTCTCCCGGAGCATATCAAGAGTTTTTGGGACTCCATCTATCAGTTTATCCCCTTTCCATATAACTCCTGTGCAATATTAAGCAGCAACTATGTAACCCTTTTTTTCAAGTGACACATATAAGACATAAACTACCTTATATTATATAAAAGAACCAATATCTCAATGTTTAGAATCTTAACACTAACTTCATTATAAGTTACTAATAAATAAATCATTACTCCAACTTCTTAGCATGATAATTTTATCCAAATTATGAAAAGAAAAAAAAAAATTATCCATTTGAGAAGGATACTGCTAGATTCTTTTAAAGAGCTTCGAAATATCAACAGAGCAGTTAGGCCCATCAATTTTAGCTAATTGGGTCCTTAGTTTAAATTGCAAGCCTTTTGACTTGCATTGAAGTTGTTGGGCAGAGAATATTCATGAAATGTTTTGCTTCGAAGTTGTTAGCCTTTTAACACTAATTCCATTATAAGTTACTAATAAATAAATCATTACTCCAACTTTAGCATGATAATTTTATCCAAATTATGAAAAGAAACAAAAAAAATATTATCCATTTGAGAATGATACTGCCAGATTCTTTTAAAGAGCTTCGAAATATCAACAGAGCAGTTCGGCCCATCAATTTTAGCTAATTGGGTCCTTAGTTTAAATTGCAAGCCTTTTGACTTGCATTGAAGTTGTTGGGCAGAGAGAATTCATGAAATGTTTTGCTTCGAAGGTCTGCAACAAGTGTCAAATTCCAAAGTTCAAATGATAAGGCCACATTCCATAACAAGGATTGGTCTCTTATAGAAAATGCATAGACCGAAATCCACAATTTTAACTTGTGATATGTTCCGACACCCCCCCCCCCCCCCCCAAAAAAAAATAATAATAATAATAATAAAAAATAAATAAATAAAAACTGTTACCTTAAGACCCGGTCTTATGGATGAAAAATGACTTGGCCATAACAGGAAGTAAAGTTATGAAACTAACAGTTTAGGACATCAAATCTTGGTAAACTAAAAATGACATCATTTCAGTCAAGTAAGCGGTATCGTAATAAACTGTGATTATGCAAATGACATCATGCATATATGATGTCAATGCCCATACAAAATGACAATTCAGTAAAATCACATGTATGTTGTCATATATGTCACATAACAGTCATTTCTTTATCGATTTAAACAAAAGCCATCACTGGTACACTTGGACAGTTTTTCTAAGTATGGACAAGTTCTGTCCTATGTATTGAACCTGGACAAGATGAAATGATTCAATTTCTATCTCACCTATCTGCTTCAAACAACTGATTGACAGAATGAACGTCAACATAATTAGACCAGAAAATTTTCACTCATGGATCCCACATCATAATCAGTCTCTTTCATGAGACTGCGCAAAGCGCTGAAAGTAAAACCAGTAAAGGACTTGCAGCTATGATGATTGTCCCCTAGGCAGTTTGGCAACTACTCTATCAAAACTATTTTACGATGGGCTCCACAAACCCAACAGGGATATGGATTATGGAAAGAAAATGATCCAATGGCTTTACAACTTAAAATATTTCAGTAAATTGCATATTTCATCATAGCCACAAGAAGAATGTTTGGTATAAATAACTCCCTTCTATGTCTTCAACCCCCTCAGTCACTACAAACGCTGCAATGGGATTTACTGATTCTTGAATACCTACTATGGTAGAATATTTGTGTCACATTTTTTCAGATTTTGCACGAGACCCTCCTGGCCCAACCCTAGACACTCTAAGATCCTTTTCCAAACCTGCCCCCATTTCGAGTGAAAAGATAGATAAATAGACACATCCCAATGCACCGAGGATCTAATGGTAGCGTGAGAGGGTTGTTGCTTGAACAGTTCTTTCAAAAAGTCCATCTACTTGATTGATGAGTCATAAGAAGACAATTCATGGTTCGGATGCTTTGTAAGAATAAGATTGAATGATCGAATAGAGTTCATACATTTCATCACCACTTTGTGGAAAATCGTTAGGTACGACTATGTTAGAAATCTTTGACTCGGTTGGTGATATAGTATCTCCCCTTCAAATAGCAAGTGAATTTCGTTGTGCTGAGGATCAATTCCAAACATCTTATTGCATTTTCGAGCTGAAATGGAATATTATTACCAAAATTGCATTGTTAATTCAGAATAATCCTAAGAAGTAATACTAATATAATTAATACTAATCTAGTAAAATATAATAGGACTGGAAAGCATAGTGTTGAAAGAGAGAGAGAGAGAGAGAGAGAATATATAAAAACTTATATGTTATTGAGTGAGTAATACAATAATACAATGGTGTTTATATAGGAGAAGCTACGGGAGTAGGTGAGTGGAGAACAAATAAACCCTATACATGGTAATTCTATATATGGTAATGAGGGGTAGGTGGCAACTCATACAATAATAACTGTACACGTGTCACAACTCATACAATACTGTACAATGTAACAACTCATACAACACTGTACAGTCCAACTCATATTTTATGTCATTTGTAGCGGTGGAGGAGGGTTGATTTGCACGCTCACGCTTTACCAGAGAATCATATTCGACTTTGGAGAGAACGACTTGTTCATTTGCAGGAATGGGAGTAGTCTCCTCCGAAACCGAAGCTTGATTAGCCCAAGCTGGCTTGCCATGAATAGCCCAGCAGAAGTCAACAGAGTGATTGTTTCGGCCACAATGAGTACACTTCTTGCTGCCGCAACCCCCTCTGCCGCCACAAGCACCACGGCCTAGGTTGGAAGGACCTCTGCCCCCTCGTCCTCCATGAAAAGTATCATGTCGCTCAGTAGAAACAACAAGAGCAGAGTTGTTGTCCTTCTCAATGACAGGGCATGAATAGATGCTCTTCGAACTCGAGCAAAAGCTCACTTGCTGTAGGTATCTCCTTGCCAAACAAAATCTACGAACTAATCGGAGCAAGTTCGGGTTTAAGTCCAGATAAAAATTTTGCCACCTGAAACTCCTCCCTGTGCCGTTTTTGTTGCTATGTCTGTAGTCAATGGTTGGTAGACATTCAATTCTTCCCACATGCCCTTCAGTTCTAAGTAATAATCTTCAACTGAACGATCTCCCTGCTGGAGATTACAAATATCCTGATACAACTGATAAATACGATAAATATTCTTCTCTGAAGAATACATTTCCCTGAGATTTTCCCAAATATCTTTGGCAGATTCTAGGAATGACACGTTGTTAAAGATCTCAGGCTCCAAGCTGTTCCATAACCAAGTCATAATCTGAGCATCTTCTTTCTCCCAAGCCTCAATAATCTTTTCATCACTGGTGGATTTGGTTGATTTAAGATAATACAGTTTTCCTCGAGCCCGTAAGAATACCTCTACAGCTCGAGACCATTGAAGGTAGTTCGAGCCTTTTAGTTTGGTGCTGGTGATTGACCCAAGAAGATGGGATTCCTTAGTATCCATCACAAGAGCTGCCGAACAAATGAGATATAGTAGCGAGTGGGAGCCAAGATAAGAAAACTAAGATCTGGTCGAGATGTACCCGAGAGAAATTATCGAGGAACGAGCCGAGGAGGGATCTGGGATAGATTGCTGAGACGAAAACTGAGATCACCGAGAAGAGATTGCTGAGAGGAAGTCGAGACAGAATCAAGATCGGAGAGTCTGAATAAGACTAAGAAAAAAATTTAAAGAGGGATCGATTTCTGCTCTTATACCATGTTGAAAGAGAGAGAGAGAAAGAGAATATATGAAAACTTATATGTTATTGAGTAATACAATAATAGGTGTTTATATAGGAGAAGCTACAGGAGTAACCTGAGTACGTGAGTGGAGAACAAATAAACCCTATACATGGTAATTCTATATATAGTAATGAGGGGTAGGAGACAACTAATACAATACTAACTGTACATGTATGACAACTCATACAATACTAATTATACACGTGTGAGAACTCATACAATACTATACAACGTGACAACTCCTACAATAATGTACAACACATAGTAAGATGAAAGTTATAAGCTGTGTTCGGGGGGAGTTATTGTCTATCGTTTGCCTCTATGGTAGAATCAATCAAGGGATCAGAGGTAGTGATTTACCTTGCGTGGATGTCAGCTGTTTGAGTCTACTTATCTCCAACTCGTGAACTTACCCTCCCTCAATGAATATTCTATTTATCTTGTTCAATCAATCCCAATATTAACTATTAGGAGTCATTTTGTGAATAAGGATTCTAGTGGTATATGTTTACGATGTGTGATTGAATAATAATAAAAAATAAAAAATAAAGGATGTTCTATACAATGATTCCCATTTTAGCTGATTTATTCAATTCAATGATTGATCAAAGAACATGAAATTTCGTAAAATAAAGTATTGTGCGATCTTACATCAATCAAATAATGATATATCCATGCAATGTGATTTGGCCTAATCAATTTGTCCATTTAAATTGTATTTATGGGTCATAATATAAAGAAAAGATAGAGAAGAATTTACAAAAAGGGGGTTTTAAAAAGACGGGTTCATTAGGAGAGGGAGGGAACTAGGTATATGTAATTTAATTGCTATAAGTCAACTCTTGTGGATGTTTTGAATAAGAATAATAATTCACTATTATTAACAATAGGTCCCGGAGACGGTTCATCATGCTATTGCTCTAGGTTTGCATACAACTACATTGATCCAAATAAAAGGTGCTTTAGATGCACGTGGTTCCAAGTTAATGCCAAATGAAAAGGATTTCAATGGAGGAATCATGATCAAGATAGCAGACCAAAAGCTACAGAACTTGGGTGTGGACGTTTTGTCGAAATGGAATGGCCTCAACTTTTATTATTTATAGTGACTGATGGAATCATTAAACGTAGTATGCCGAGCCCCAATCAGCATTTCTTTCTTCTTCTTCTTCTTCTTCTTTTGTTTTTATTTTTTATTTTTTTATGCCCAGGAACTCTTCCTCAGCGAGACTTTGGCAGAATAGCAGAGCAAGTACAAGTATTAGTATTATACTACAAAAAATGTGCTCCAGAAAACACAACAACAAACTTCCAACTTTACTATTTTTCAAAAGATTGAACCATTGTGTTAAAAGTAATTTGTAAATTCAATTGTAATATCAATTCTCTCTCTAGTTATAATCTAGAAGGGTCACAAATTACACACCTCCCAGCCAAAAAACCTTTATTGTGACATCTTTTAGCGATTTGCAAATAAAGGGTTAGCAGATTAGTACCCCATAAACCCAAAAATTGGCAAACCATAAAGCACGCAGACCATGTTCATTACCGAGATAAACCCAGTATAGAACAACAATTAACAACTTGTTGAATAAATTTATGTATATGTGTGTATATATATATATTCAAGAGATTAAATGCAATAAAATTTTACCATCGCAATCGAAGATGAAGGTCTCCACTGAATCGATCAGTTCATCGGCATTCTTGAGGGGTTGTGCTGAGGCACGTGTGGTGAAATCCATGGTAGACCTATTACTGCTACTAGAATTCCATTTGAGGGCCTTCAACGAATTGTACAAAGGGTTTGAAATGTAAGAGAGAGAATCACTACTGTTGTTCGTCTTCTTCCTGAGAAAACACATAAATCGAGGAGGTTTAGGGTTAAATAGAGTTGCAGAAACAGAGGCTGATACAGAGACTCTGCTAAGCATCGCTCTATATATATATATATTTATCTCTCTATATCTTTACGGTTATTACAATAATTTCTCAAACCCTTGTGTATATTGTATTTCAAGGCCGTTGGGTTTTAAAGTGGTTGGTTGTTTGCTGACATGGCAGTTTGAGTGGACAAACTGGGTTTATCCGATGGGGGCAAATGCTGTGCGCCCATGCGGTCCACTTTGTCTAACCACTCGTGGAAAGCACGTGACACCTTTTTTTTCCTTCTCCTCTTTTTGTTTTTTCTGTTTTGTTTAGTCTACTAGTGCCGTGCATCAATGGCAAAGAAAATATATGCTACTCTATATATATTATATATAATGTAATATCATTTTAATTTTAATGTGCATATATATATATTGGGGGATCAAAAAGATTGTACCAACCAGCGTAATCTACCTCTCCAAATCAGAAATGGCCACATGTCCCAATCGCTAAATGACACGTAAAAGAGCCAATTAAACAAAAAAAATGAAAAACTCAAGATTAATAAGAAGCACAATTCGGGCCTTAAAATGGGTAACAAATTAAAGAAATGGAGATTTGGGCCTTAATATGGGTAACAAATTAAAGAAATGGAAAGGAACTTGAAGTGAAATTTGCTACTATCGTTATATTTGATCGATATAAATAGGTATCGAATTGATCTTAGATTAAAGCTTGATTATACAGTGACCAGAATTCTAATAAGATTCCTTATTCCTTTTATTGATTGTTATCTAACCCACCCCTTCGGCCAAAATCTGAAAACCCCCCTGTTGTTTTCAAAAACTATCTACTAACCCCCTTAAATACGAAAACAAACATATGACCCTCTCCCCGTTAGTTGACCGTCTAAAACTAACGTCTTCTTATCACGTGAGCATCACGTGCACCAGATACTCCAATATAATGACGAAAGTACCCTTGTTATACGGAAATGACATTTGTTAGATCCACCCCCTCGGTTATGCATTCTTTAAGGTTTTTTATCTCCTTCTCTGTCGTTGCACTGGTGTAAGGATTGCCGCCATAGAAGATCTCTTCTCTCTTCGTTAACTGTCATCTTCTCTCTTCTTTCTTCGTTCTTGTCTTCTCTTGTTCTTGTCTGTGGTTGAAGTGGCTTATTAAATTCTTTATTCTCTCTTCGTTAAGCTCTAATTGATCTATTAAATTCTACAATTGATGATTTGAAGCTTTAATCGATCTATTGAAGTCCCTGATTTATTATTTGAAGCCCAAAATTGCAGCCAGTATGTGCCTTATTACAAGCCCTAAACCGCGAGCAGGGAACCCAAATGTCTTTTTCCACCATACAATCTGTTAATCGGCAAGATCTCAAGTATAACAACATAATATGTGATTGTAGCTATCCAGCTGTAGTGAGAGTTACAGGTTCAGATGAGTATAACAACAAATGGAGGATATACTATTCTTGTGGTACAAAAAAAATGCTCTTTATGGGCATGGTGTGATCCGATTTGTACAATGCCAGCTTATACTGAAGCATATGAAAGCAAGTTTAGTGAAATTACAGAATTAAAGTTCCGGTATAATACAGTTAGTTCCCGTTTGGAAGCAATGGGAAAAAGTATGGAAGAAATCCAAAAAATTCTGAAGCAATTAGTTGTAGCATTTGTTATGTTCTGTGTTGTTGCATGTATGATAGCTTTAGGAATAAAGTAGTCAGTTGGTTTTAATATGAGGCTATGTATGCAAAATATATTTTGAAGCCGAATGAAGTGTGTATGCAATGTACTTTTTGAATTGTTAAGTGCATGAGTAAAAGTGTATGTTGAAGTTAAATTGTAGAATTGGAAGTATTGAGTCTTGTGTTTATCTGTATTTCGAATTGCATGAACAAAATCAAAATGACAAGTTACAATTTGCCAAAAATGCATTGTGCATTTAAGGTAAAGTTGCATACATATATTCAAACCAATGGCTTCACTGTCCAAAATAGCCATACATTAAAAACATCCACTGTCATTACATTGCCATACATTGTCAAAAAATCCAACACATTCACTGTCCAAAATAGTCATACATTAAAAACATCCACTGTCATTACATTGCCATGCATTGTCAAAAAATTTAATACATTCACTGTCCAAAATAGCCACCCATTAAAAACATCCACTGTCATTACATTGCCATGCATTGTCAAAAAAACGAACACATTCACTATCCAAAATAGCCATACATTTATTGCCATGCATTGTCAAAAAAACCAACACATTCACTGTCCAAAATAGCCATACATATATTGCCATGCATTGTCAAAAAAACTATCCACTATCATCACACCATTAATATAAAAAACCACCACTATTCAAAATAAACTATCCATAATACACCATTACTACAAAAAACTAACCACTGTCCAAAATAAACCCACCACTGTCATTACTTAGTTTTACATTAAAAACATAAGAAAATACTTGTATACAGTCAACCATTTCTTCAATTTGTCCACCAAAAAAGCTGCACAAAAAAACTGCTATCACTTTCATCAACATGCCATCATTCCTGTGTGTTAAGTGTGGATAGAAAGTCCATATGAACCACTTCATATTGGGTGAATGTTGATGCCTATTCAATGGATAGAAAGTATGTGTTCGTTCAGTTTTGTTTAATGTAACGTAAAATAAAATAATAAGAGGTTCAATAATAATACCTCTGAATAACCAACAATATCTCTTCCACCAAGACCAAGACCATGGTGTCGGGTAGATGTTAATGGCTATTAAATAAAGCAATAAACAACAGGTCTCTTACCAACTCTGCCACCACCTCTAACAGCACTGCCACCACTTCTAGCAACTGTACCACCACCTCTAGCAACTGTGCCACCACTGTCACCACCTCTAGCAAGTCTGTCACCACCTCTAGTAGGTCTGCCACCACCACCTATATGAACACCACCACCACCCCTAGTAGCATCTATGTTAACTCTCACACCACCTTTGTTAGCTTTCCCACCACCTTTGTTAGCAGATCTCCCATCTTTTGTAGTAAAATTCCTCCCACTCCTACCGGCAACAGTTTCATCTCTACCACCACTTACACCACTTGTGCCACTTATTATTCTTAGTCTTCCACCCTTACTTTTTGATTGTCTTATAACTTGCTCAAGTGTTTCACAAGTCCTTACATTATGACCCAAGACAAGACATTTAATGCATCTCATTTTTTACCTCTTCACCACTGGACCTTTTGACTTACTCTCATCTGGACCTCTTTTCCTATTCTTTTTAGGTCTTCCAGGTCTAGTCCTATGGGGTGGTGGCAGTATTGGAGTAGTACCAACTTCTCTTTTTAGATTCCTTAAAGACACTGGAGTTATGACAAATCCATAAGACTTGAAGTATGTCTCTCTATAATAAGAAGGGTGAACAAACAGTTCTGGATCAAACCTCCTATCCAAAATTGCTGCCACTGCATGTTTGCAAGGTATGCCAGTTATATCCCAATACTTACATGAGCAAGTTCTTGTAGCAAGATTCACATAATCACTTACCCCAGCTTCATTCCATGTCATGTTTTCCACCTCCTACTTGTCATTCCCTGAATAATTCACACGCAATCTTCTGACATCTTTAGAAATTTTATCCAATTTCTCTATAATTTTTGGACACAAGAGTCCCTTAACCTTATCGATCATCTCTCTATTGCTTTGATACCTTAGCTTCAGTTGTTTTTAGATCTTCTCAAACATGTAATTAAAGGTTTTTCCCTTGCCTTCCCAATATAGCTGTTAAATGACTCACACATGCTATTTACACATAGGTTATTCCTACTTTTTGTAGTGTATGTTGACCTTACCCAAACCTTTAAGGGAATCTTCATTAACCAGTCATGTGCATCGATCCTTGTTAACTGCCTTCATCTTTTGCATATGTAGCACAAAATCAGATTCTGTGTATGCTGTGGATGCATTCTAAAATATGTTCCATAGTATTCTGCCTTTGTATTTTTGCCTGAAATTGTCATACATGTGTTTAAAACAAAACCTAATATCTGCTCCAGGATATTTATCCTCAAATACCTCAAGTAGACCCTGAAAATTTAGAACAAAATATTATAAATATGTAAAACATTAAAGTAAGATAATAAATGACCATATACATTGAAAGATAAACATGTATACCTTCTGTCGATCTGAGATAAATGTGTACTTATGATAATTGCCAACTAAACCCATCAATTCATCCAAAAATCATTCCCAAGAGTCCTTGCATTCTGCCTCAACACAACCAATTGCAATTGGATAAAAGCCATTGTTGTCATCCCTACCAACAGCACACAATAAGTGTCCCCCGTATGGTTATTTCAAGAAACATCCATCTAGACTAATAAATGGTCTACAACCCTCTAAGAATCCTTTCCACATAGCCTCTAGGGAATAGAACAAGCTATAGAATGAAGTACCATCATCATTATAGGGTATTGTTCTTACATTGGTAACACTCATAGGATTTGTTTCCAGGATTAAGGCACATTAGTCCCTAGCTCTTGTAAATTACTTTGAATAATCACCTTCAATCATTAGTAAAGCCAATTTCTTTGCTCTAGCCACCTTTTGTCACTTCAACATTAAATTCAGTTTCAACTGTTTGCACAAAACCTTTCAATGAGCAACTTGGATCAGCCATAATCTTTTCAGTATAATGTTTTGCTAAATAACTATATGTCAACCGACTGTTGTGCCTTACACCAGTACAATTGTGATTATCATTGAATGTCTTTATTTTGAATGATTTATCTTCACTATTTTCAGAGGCATGAATCCTCCACCCACATTTAGCCTTGCATACCACTGTGACTCTATCTCCATCATTCTTCACAAAGGATAAGTCAAACTTGCCTTTTATAGCTGTAACGCTTATTACTTCTCTAAATTCTGCTGGAGAACCAAACTTCATGCCTATTTCAAGTTTTTTTTCCCTAAGTCTATATGAACATTGAAATTTGGATAAAATGGGCCACTTGTGCTATCATCTTCATATTCTTCGCCACTTGAGTATACCAAACTCATCAACTCCTCACTTAGTGCATATTCAGAAACTTGATAACTGTTATCATCTTTATC